GTTTAGAAATTAAAAAAAACGGAAAAGCGAAAGAAATTGAATATCTGTTTATGCTTTGTGCCCCGGAATGAATGAAAGTGATCTCCTTTGGCTATCCTCAGCCAGGGTGGTCAGTCCATGGCTGTATGCCTGAATCTGCGGAGAGGCTCCTTGAAAAGGAATGGTTGGTGACCCCGATAGTGCCGTTTTACTTGGTTCCGCAGACTTTGACAGGTGTTTATTGATAAACTTTTAAAAGTACTCTTTGTACTTGTGCGGTTTTTCCACGCCCCCCACCCCCCAGATGAGGGTGATCTGATGTGTGAAGATAACCAGTTTTTTCAAGCCAGAGTTAAACGTTTCCACCAAAGGCTGCCCTCTTTAACAACTGAGGTCACTTGGCTGCCAAGTGGATAGCTACTGCTTTTCCATTACTTTCAGCTCCTAGATGACCAGGATTTCAGAAGCTCAGTGATATATGATTGGAAGATTTGAACAACTTCTCTTTAACCAGTTGTAGCCCAAGGGAAAGGCTCTCTGGGGGCATCTTGGGTTCCATGTTGGGAGTCCCCTCACCAGTGGCTCTACAGGAGAAAGATGAAGCTTTCTACTCCCGTCCTGAGTTTCTGTCTCAGAAACTCACAGGGGCAGTTAGTTCTACCCTGTTCTGTAGGGGCCCGATGAGTTAGCATTGAGGTTTTTTTGCTTTTGAGAGTGGAAGGGAAATGAGTTAGGATTATTAAATGAGTGCTTCATTCCAGATACATGTACAGTCTGTTATTTAGTGAGTTTTGGAGTCTGGCAGGTTTAGGCTACTCACCACAAGGTCCGGAGTCCAAACCCATCCACAGCTCCTTGGGAGAAAGACGAGGCGTCTGATTCTGTAAAGATTTTTTTCAGTCTTGGAAACCGACAGGGGCAGCTCTATGGCTGAGAATAAACCCAGCAAAACATACATCTGTTTGGTACTTTCTCCACGTACCACTTAGTCATGTTGGCAGTCCTGGAGCTGTGCCGCCCGCCATTCTCACCTCCTCCCCATCAACATAAACTCACTGCCCACCTGAGATGTTTAATCTGGTCTTTCAACTTGCTGTTGTCAGTTTGATCCCGCAGAGACCATTTTAAAAAGTACAGTGCTCAAGGCAGACATTTTTTTTTTACTAGTTAAGCTAAACTCTGGTTTGATTTTAAGTGGACTTGGGGCGATATTTTTGGCTTAAGGTGTAAACCTCATCTCAGAGTAATAGTTTCCAGGCATTAACCCACACACTGTGGCTCTAGGAAATCCAGAATCCAGGAGAATTTGAGATCCTGTTTGCAGCTTCCACCTTTAATTGGGATTCTTTTATGAAATCTTTGATTGAAAAATTCAGCAGTGGTATGCGGGCATCATCAGTTTCCTTTGGTCTCATGGCAAAGGAGTTCATTTTCTATTTTCCAAGGAGCCTTGGTAGCGTGGTGGTTTGGGCAGTGGCTGCGAACCACAGGGTCAACTTTTCAAGTCCACCAGCTGCTCACAGGGAGGAAGATGAGGCTTTCTCCTGTAAAGACAGTCGTGGAAACCAGCAGGTACAGTTCTGCTGGGACTCAATGCAATGAGTTTTGAGTTTCCACGGCGCTCCTCCTTCCTCTGTGCTCCTGGGGAATGGAGACCAAATGTGCTTTGGATTTCTGCTGGCAAGCTTGTAAGCCCCAGGTACTACCCACTGAACCGTGAGGTAGAACAGAAGCACTAAACATGTTATTAGACCAATTAACTGTCATAGTTTGCTATATGTGTATCTGTGTGTGTAGAAAACAAACAAGCACACTTACAGTAATGTTTTTGTGGTAGAGTTGGCCTTTTTTGAGATATAAAAGAGATAAAGCAAGCAAGCAACAGAAGCAGGTCACCTAAGAGCAGAAGTTCAAAGTGGAAAGGACTCTTCCTCTAGAGCTGATAAAAGTAAGAAAGTCTTCCCTGAGAGCCAGCACCCTGAACTGAGACTTCCACCTTCCTCAACTGAGAGAGAACATACCTGTTTGCTAACGCTACCCCCTTGTATTTCTGTTCTCACCACACTAGGTAACGAAGACGCGGTAGCATGGATTTTGTTGCTATTGGTGGGAGAAATTATATGAATACTTGTCGATCTACGTGAGCAGTATACTGGAAAGTTATTCTTTTCTTATTGTTCATTTGTGAAGTTAGTAAATAGGGTGACCAATTGTCTTGATTTGCCAAAGGTTGAGGGGACTCCCAGACCAAGAGACTTTTAGTTTTAAAAGTGAGAGTAAAGAATTTCCCAGAGACTAGTGCTAACCCTTGGAATCCTGGACAAAAATTAGTTAGTTTCCCTGGTAGTAAAAGATACAGGATTCATTGCTTGCAACATTAGTTGTATACAATGTTAGAAAATGGTTAATTCACTAAGAGGATATTTTACAGGCACCATGGTAAATAATGAGCCCTGGTGGTGAAGTGGATTATGCTTGAGTTGCTAACCATAAGATCAGTAGTTTGGAACAACCAGCCTCTTAGAAGGAGAAAGATGAGGCTTTCTACTCCCACCAAGAGTTACAGTCTCAGAAACCCTGAGGGTAGCCATACAGGTTCAGGATGAGTCAGAACTGACTCCATGGCAGTGAGTTTTTGGATGGTAAATAATGTTGTTTGACAAGGGGAGTAGAGATCCAGGAGGATGAGGGGAGGGTGGGAGGAGAAAGGATTGATCACAAGGATCAATCTAAAATCCTCTCCCAGGGGGACGGATAACGGAAAAGTAGGTGAGGGGGCGGCGGAGGACGATGTAAGATATGGAAATAATAATCTATGACTTATCAAAGGTTCATGAGGGAGGGTTGGTGGGGGACGCAGGGGGAAGAAATGGGGAGCTGATATCAAGAGCTCAAGTGGGAAGGGGCTCTTTGAAGATGATGGCGGCATATATGTAAATGTGCTTGACACACTGGATGAATGCATGGATTGTGACAGGAGATGTAAGAGCCCCCAATAAAAGTCTTTTTTTAAGTTAATTACTACTGTTTTGACAGTCTAGTAATTAAAATGAAAAGGAAAAAAAGTAATGTTGTTTGGTGCTGTTTCCTCAGTTCAACTCATAGCAGCCCTGAGTACAACAGAATAAAACACTGCTGCGTCCAGCAGGGTCATCCTGATTGTTACCATGTTTCAGTCCATTGTTGCACTGCTGTGGCTATCCATCTCATTGAGGGTCACCCGATTGATAGAATGCTCACCCTGAATTGATTTGTGTAGAGTAATATTAAGTTCGCCCATTAAACAGTTATTGATAAATCAATAGAAAAAGTAAACTGCCAGCTTTCTCTGAGATGTGTATGTGTTCTAGGAATGACTCTTTATAACATGCCTTTGATTTCTTTGCTCCTGATACCTTGCCTCTGGTGGGGCGCAGAATGCTTAAGGAAACAGGTGTGAAACTGGCTCAGCGATCATCAGAAATAAACGTGATCACATTTTGACACCAAGTTAAGAAATTGATGGCTTTCCGAGTTTGAATTGATGTCTTTTGTTGGACAAAAAGAAGCATTTTGTTCTGTTTTGGTTGGAACCCCTCAGCCACAGCAGTGGTTATTTATGATGGGTTCCTGCACTTAATAACGCAGAGTAGTGTTTATTATGGTATAGCCTGTTGTGTCAATCTTGTCTAGGGTGTTAAAATTTTCTCCACCCTCTTCCATCCCAGATGTCTGTGTCCTTGATATATATTTTTTATTGGGGGGGGTGGGGGAAGGCCTAAAAAAAAAAAAGAAAAGAAAAAGCAAACCCAAAAAAAAAAAAAAATATTATTTACTAGGAATCTCCATAGTTATTTAACAATTTGATACTGTGTTTCGTATTGAATGCATGTGGAAGGATGGCTTTAGGGATCCAGGTTAATGTCATTGACTATATTAGTTATCCTCTGGTGTAAACTTGAACCTTCAGGGAAGTGGGATAGTGAAGGCTTGGTGGATGGGTAAGAACATCCATATACAGGCCCTTCGCTGTACTAGGCATTCATTTAGCTTTCTGCTTAGTGGAATTATAATCACAAAATATTTAAATCACAAAAAGAGGAGTTAGAATATTATAGGTGAAAACTCCTTCAAGCCCAGCGGGTCCAGAATGGATTCTGGGAAATATTTTGAACTTCTTTCTCGTCCTTACCTGTCATGTCCTTGTGTCGTTTGCCTGCCAGGGGGCCAGTCTTTCTTCAGCAGGAAGGATTCCATCCGAACCATCTACACTTCTTTGCATAATGAGCTGAAGAAGGTGGTGAGTGGCCGTGGTGCCCAGGGTGGGGCCACGCCTCACGTGGAAGAACTCCTTTCCCACCTGTCCGAGCAGCTTTGCTTCTTCGTTCAGGCTCGGATGGAGATCGCAGACTTCTACGAGAAGATGTACACCCTCAGCACACAGAAGTTCATCAATGCTGAAGAGCTTGTTGGCCTTTTGGACACCATCCTGAGGAAATACAGCTCCAGGTCAGTGTAGGGGAGGAGAGTGGATAAGCGAGAACTCAGAAGGCCTCTCATTTCCATTTAGAATCTGTTTTCCATACTCCTGAAAATCTGTGGTGAATAACTGAAAGAGAAACAGCTTTATTACATTCTGTATATTAAATAATCAACAGATGCACCGTAGGTTCCTTCTTTGGGCTTAGCATTATGCTAAATACTTCTCTTAGCAGTAGCGAATAGCCAAAAATGAACCAAGGCTTAAAAGATGCCTTATAATGGATTATGCTGCATGTGAAAGATGTCACAACAAATAGGGAATTGAATGTAAATAATGTGATTTTTAGCAAACTATTCATGTAAGTAAATGTCCCTTTCAAAATAATCAGTTCAGTGTTTTCCTCTTCCTTTTATGTAGCCCGCCTTTAATAGGTGTTGGAAACTCCTCTATAATGGCTTCCAGAGCCTATGGGTTATAGGTTTTGTTTTGTTTGAAATTTCCTTATGATGGCAGGGTATCTGTGATTGTGAGGGAACACCGTGTGTTAAAATTTTTTTGAGTAGTCAGAAAGTTATTTGGAGCCAAATCTAGTTTTTTCTTTCTTTCTTTTCTTAAAGATGTGAATCAACTGGAAATCTGCTTTTGTTGGAACGAAATTGCTACTTCTACATGAGACTAGTTGTTATATGTGGCTCACTGCCTGGCCCAAAAGCAATACCAAAAGCAGTTCAGGAGCACTGTGAACACAGTTGAAGTGAAGGTCCCAGTTTTATCTTTGCGTCCCAGAACCTGGCATAGTGCCTTGCACATAGTAGATGCTCAGTAATTGTTACATGTTGAACTGAATGGAAAGTGATTACTTAGAAGGTTAACACTCCTTTGAATGAGTTCAAGTATGTTTGATTTTTTTTTAAAAAGGTCTATTAATTTGTATAGTCCCCAGTGATGGAATAATTGCCTTCTGGTCAATGGACTGAGAGAAGAGGGCAAATGGGGAGGTGAAGAGACTTCCCGCAGGGGGTAGAACCTGAGGGGATCTTTTAGGAAGAAGTAAGACTGAAAACAAAGGAAAGAAGATTGCCGGTGTTTTGAGATGATATTTACAGAGTACTAAAACATCTAGGTTTATTTGTGAACTGGGGGGAGGTTTACAGAGCAAACCCGTTTCCATTCCACAGTTCGTCACGTTCTGTTTCCTGTCATTGAGTGTAATGACCACGGGGTTCCTGCCATCGCCACCCTACTTACCCCTCTTCTGCTTTCCAATCTTCCTTTGTTTCCAACCCTTCTGAACTTTGACCTCCGGTAAATGGTGCATTTTAATATCAAAGGCTGGATTATTCTTTTTTTTTTTTT